GGGGGGTGTTTGTTTTTGTTTTGTTTTGTCTTTAATGAGAGACGTGTCGTGTTTAAAGTTGTATAATTAAGAGTAGTATTAAATGTAGTTAAGAATAGTGTTGATTTCTTTCCTACTTTTGTGCAATTTTGACGTTTGTATCAATTTTTATTTCACGGATCAGTTTTCCCAATGCGCCCCCTATCTCCCCAGAGAATGGTATATGTTCAGCAGCTGCGTCAGTGGTACCTGATGGAGGAGGAGTGGCGGCGTGCAACGCTTAAACTCCGGGCCATCAAGCCGCTTGCAATGAACGAGAAGGAGGTGAAGAAGATTCTTGGAAAGGTTGTTCCGCCCTCTTTGTTAGACCAGCAGCTAACATGGCCTGTTCGTGGTTTGGTTTCTAAAAGGGATGTGAAACCTGTGGGTGAGCTTGATGCAAAGGCTCAAGGAACACCTTTAAGACTGCAGTCGTCACAGAAAGGTCATTTGCATAGGAAAAGTATAATTCAACATTGGAGAGACGTGAGCATAAAAATTCTTGCGCAGAACGGACTGAACAAGCTAAGTGACGCGACCAAACAGAGGCAACAAGTGATGGTAGAAATGCGGCAGGTGATGAGAGGGCACCGGTGTAAAGTGGAGGCTGAAGAGAGGCGAGCTTTTTCTCCGAAGGGACGTAAAAGCAGAGCTGAACGAGTTTTATTCAAAGGCGTCGATGGCACACTTACTAAGGAAGATGTCGGACAACGCCAGAAAAGGAGTTATGGCGACCGACATATGGCCAGACACTCACGGAACAAATACGGTAGGAATGGCCATTTTGACCAAGTGTACGACGACGACGACACTGACTATGATTACAGAAGTCGTTCTCTCTCTCGTGAAAGCCACTCTCTTTCATACCGGTCAGGACGTCGGAACACAAGTTTGTGGGACTGGGGTTCGGTCGACGAGTGTCAGTGTAAGTGGTCGATAACGGACGCCTACGAGCTTGTATGCGATCACCCACTTCTGGGACAGATACGGGCCAGGCATCCGCAGCCCTTGAGATTTGTGGGTGAGTTGTGCAGTGGTATGGTCTTTAAAAATATTTGTGTTGCGTTATACATACACACACACATATTCGCATAAGCACGCACACACGCACGCACGCACGCACACACACACACACACACACACACACACACACACACACACACACACACACATACACACACACCCACACGCACACGCACACATACACACACACACCACATACACACTCACATACACATACAAACGTACACAAACAAACATACACACAAACACACGCAGACACATGCACACACATACCAACCTATCAACCTACCTAGCTGTCTGCCTGCCCACTCACCAACATACATACCTACATAACTACCTACCTACCAACATACCTGCCTGCCTGCCTGCATGCACACGTGCCAACCTGCCTACCTAACTACCTAGGTACCCAGCTACCTGCCTTCCTACTTACTACCTACCAACCTGTCCCCTACCCCCTCCCACACACACATATACGCTCTCACATATGCATACAGAGAGAGAGAGAGAGAGAGAGAGAGAGAGAGAGAGAGAGAGAGAGAGAGAGAGGGAGAGACAGACAGACAGACAGACATTGGCTTGAGTCTAGTAAGTACAAACCTACTTGTAAAAGTGCAAACCAGGTTGTTAGAAATATAGTTTGTTGGTTGTTACAACAAAACGTACCCAAAGATAAATATAACATCGTGTCTTACACTGAAAGTGTAACGACTGCAAAACTGACATCTTACTTAAGACATATGGATGACACAGAAATCAGATTGTTTTTAGCTTCTCTGGTCACAACTTGGCTAGATTAAAAGATTTAAATTTGAATAATTTAAAAAATGTGGCTGTTCCCATTTGTCTAGATAATAATTGAGATTGCCTAGAGTTTAGTCAGCACAGTGTTACTTGTAATAGTGTAAAACCAAGTTGTAAAGGAAAATGAAATGCTGGCTATTACAACAATATATGCACACAAAAAAAAGAATAAGTTGTGTCTAATAGCGAGAGTGTAACGACCGACATAACGGCTTAAGACATTTGGATGACACTGGAGTAAGCCTTTTTTCAGCATTTCAGGTCACAACTTGGCTAGGGTGGGATGTTGACAGTACAAAGTGTCGCGTAAAATTGTAGACCTAGGCTGTGTAACAAAACTCTTTATTGGATGTGACAACTAGACATGCACAAAAATACGTGGACCTTGCCTAACACTGAAAGTATAACAATCGGTATAACAACTTACTAAAGACGTTTGGGTAACATAGAAATAAGACTGTCTTCAGCTTTTCAGACCACGACTTGCCTTGGATAGAGTCTAGACAGTACCAAATGTATTGTAAAATTGCAGACCTACGTTGCAAAACCAAACTATTTGATGAATTTTACAATTAGATTTATTACAAAAACCAGTAGATTACGTGGATCGCTGTGCGTGTAACGACCAACATAACAATTAACGAAAAGAATTGAATTTGAATCACCAAAAGAAATTAGGCCCTTTCCAACTTCACAGGTAATAACTGAAATTGGCTAGAGTCAAGTCAAGTTACTTGTAAACTTGCAAGACCAGGTTGTAAAAGAAAATTATATGTTGGATTTTACCAATAGTACTTACTTACTTACTACCCATTACGCCATCTGGCGTTTAGGGCAGCAACAAAGGATCTCCAACTCTGTCTGTTTTGGGCCATCTTGATCAGCGTTCCCCACCAATGATTCCAGGACTTCATTTCAGACTCTACTGTGCGTCTCCAGGTCACTTTGGGTCTGCCCCTTTTGCGACGTCCTTCGGGTGTCCAGTGGAGGGCAGTCTTCACAATAGAGTCTGGTTCTCTTCTCAGAACATACCCAATCCATCTCCATCTTCTCCTTTTTATTATGGTGGTCATGTCCTCTTGCCTACATTTTCGTAACAGATCTGCGTTGGAAATCTTGTCGGGCCAGAAGATTCTGAGTATTTGGCGTAAGCTGGTTGTATGAAAGGAAGAATGATAGCTTGGCACGGTCATGATCAGTCATCCTCCAGCATTCAGCTCCATATAGGAGTGTGGATAGTACACAGCTGTCATACAGCTTTATCTTGGTTTGTATACTAAACTGTCCTGACTTCCAGATGTTGATCATACTTCTGTGTACAGATCTTGCCTTGCGGAGTCTGTTCATAATGTCTTCCTTTGTACCGCCGTCAGTTTTGATTATGCTGCCTATGTAGGTAAATGTGTCTGTTATAGGCAGGTCTGTGTTGTTCACCCTAATCAGCGTTGGGGAGCCTACCTTTAGTGTCATTACTTTTGTCTTCTTCTGGCTTATTCTTAACCCAATCTGGCGTCCGTATTTGTGGAGTCGGTTTGTTTTTTCCAGCATGTGCTTGTTGGTATGGGAGAGTAGTGCAAGGTCGTCGGCAAAGTCCAGATCATCGAGGGTGGAGAAGAGGGTCCACCTTATGCCTCTTGATGTATCCTCTGTTGTTTTCCTCATGACCCAGTCAATGGCCAGGTTGAACAGAAATGCTGACATGTTGCATCCTTGTCTAACTCCTGTCTTTACCTCAAAAGCAGTGGTACTGTTTCCAACAAGGCACTTGAAGTTTTGGTAGAAGCTCTTGATGACCTCCACTATTTTGAAAGGGATTCCATAAGATCGTAGAATGCGCCAAAGACTTTCTCTATGCACACTGTCGAACGCTTTTTAAAAATCAACAAAGTTGACATAAAGTTGTCTCTGCCATTCCGTGCACTCTTCTATTATGTTGCGTAGGGCAAATATCTGATCTGTGCATCTTCTTTCTTTGCCGAATCCTGCCTGTTCTTTTCTTAAGCAGCTGTCCCCGGCATTCGACACCCGATTAATAATAATCTTGGCCAGGATATTGCTGGGAACTGATAGCAACGTGATACCTCTCCACTTGTTGCAGTCTCTAAGAGCTCCTTTTTTTGGTACTTTAACAATGACTCCAGTGCTCCAGTCCTCGGAAATCTGCTCTCCCTCCCATATGGTTTTGAATAGTGGCTGAAGAATGGCGGCAGTCAGTTCTGGGTCTACTTTAAACAATTCAGCATCCAGGTTGTCCATTCCTGGAGATTTTCGTGATTTCAGGCTCTTAACAGCTTTTACAATCTTGTGTTTCTGTGGTGGGTCAGAGCTGATATCCAGTTCCAAGGTAGCTTCCTGTATGTCTGGGGTGTCCTCCGGTGGAGGTGGGTTTAGGACTTCCCTGAAATGTTCTGTCCAGCGTGCTTCCTGTTCCTTGTCCATTCTCACCAGCTTGCCAGCCTTGTCTTTGATTGGTCCACTCATTCCACCGTGGTACTTGCCGCATATTTTCTTGTTATCTTGTATACGTTGCCTTGTTCACCTTTAGCAGCTGCCTCCTCTGCTTCAGTTGCCAACTTTTCCATGGCTTCTCTTTTGTCCTTCCTGACCAGTCTTTTATTTTTCTGGCAAGCTTCCTTGTCATCCCCTGCGTACTTCTCTTGTAGCCGTATCGACTTAGTTGCAAACTTTTTCTTGATTTCTCTCCGTTCTTCAATAATATTCCAAGTTCCTTGCTTTATCCATTCTTTGCTTGCGTTCTTTTTCTTTACACCAAGACATGTCTTACGGCTCTCTGTGTAGGCCTCAACAACATGCTTCCATTGGGTATTGACTTCATCTGTATTGGGGGTTGTTTCTTCCAGGTCTTGGAGAGCTTGAAATCGGTTCTTTAGTTCTAGTCGGAAGGCAGATCTCACATTGCCATCACTGAGCTTGTGAACATGAAATCGCGTCCTTGTCGCCTCCCTGGTGAATGTTTTCTTCAGCTTGAGTTTTATCCTTGCCGTCACTAGATGGTGGTCGCTGCCGACATCTGCTCTTCTTCTGACTTTCACATCATGTAGGGAACGTCTCCACATTCCTCCTATCATAAGGTGGTCAATCTGGTTCTTGTCCCGGCCATTTGGAGAATTCTAGGTCAGTTTGTGGATTGTACGGTGTGGGAAGAGGGTTCCGCCTATCACCAGGTTGTTCAATGCGCAGAAGTCCACTAGTCTTTCACCGTTCTCATTTCTTGTACCCGTTCCATGTTGTCCCATCGTTCTCTCATAGTTGGTGTTGTCCTCTCCTACTTTAGCATTCAGATCGCCCATTTCAACGATAAGGTCGTGACGAGGTATACCTGTCAATTCCCTCTGCAGCTGTTCATAAAAACAGTCCTTGCTTTCATCTTCACTGTCGTTAGTAAGGGCGTAACATTGGATGATGCTTGTGTTGGTGTGCTTTCCTTTCAGTCTCAGTGTCATCATTCTGCTGTTGATCGGTTTCCCCTGCCTGGGGCATTTCTCAAGTCCCTTTTTTAGGATGATATCTACACCTTCCCTATGTTGGTTGTCTTCTCTGCCGGAATATATCAGTGTTTCTCCAGTTGCTGTTCTCAGCCTGCCGGATCCTGTCCAGTGACTTTCACTTATGCCCAGAACGTGCAATCTATATCTCCTCATCTCTGCCGTTGCTTGTGCCAACTTGCCAGTTTCGTACATTGTCCTTACATTCCACAGTCCTATGATAACTTTTGTCTTTGCGGTGTTCAGGTCATCCATCTTCCTGCAAACAGCTTCCTTGCGGCTTTCACAGCCAGCATTCATACGAATCCCAAGAGACTCTGAAGGTCCATCCACACAGAAATATGGTTTCTCTTTGTTGCTGTTTCCGTAACATATGCTTTTTACCAGTCTAGGTTGTTAGCCCTAGGCTGAACCTCCGAACATGGAGGGCCGGTGGATCACGCTTCGTCTGACCTCTACCCGTCGACCTGTCTGGCATGGGTGGCCCTACCAGGAGCATTAGCTCCAGCCAGTGTAGCTCTTGGAGGTACACAAGCTCTCTAACCACAACAATGTAGTGATCCATTAGAGAGTTTTACCAATAGACATATATAAAAATCAGTATATTATTATTATATCTGGCACTTGGGGTAAAATGACCAATATAACAGCTTACTTAAGACATTTAGATGGCATATAAATCAGAGTGTTTTCAGCTTCTCCGATCACGACTGTCAACTCCTTTAGGTTGTTTAAGAGGCGGTTGTCTGGTGAGAAGAGTGTTTTGGGGAAAGCCTCAACACGTCCTGCCTGCAGATGGTTGGAGCGTGTAACTGGTAGGTCTTACTTTTCTTTCCCTCTGTTGTTTTTGTCTATCAGTCTTGCTTTTTCCTAGCAGTAATTGTCCGTCATTGTGTCGATGTGCTTCTATTTTCTCAAAAGTGTCCCGTCTGTTTCCCAGATTCACCATCGGTCTGGCTGAGCCGCCATTTTGCTTGCGAGGTTCTCTACGACCATGAGATTTACGCCGTTTGTGATGTAGACTTAGCAGACGTCGGCACAGACAAGCAGCATACCGGAAGTGTCTCATCTCAGCTGTCAGACGCCGAGAATCCCCACGGGGTTCCTTGAAGTTATATTACATGTATTCCCAACAAAGACTTTACGTTATGGCCACCCATTTTATTTTTTCCAATAAAGACTTTATGTCACCGTCTCCACGTTCCGCAACTAGAAATAACAACCAAAAAAAAAAAAAACCCATGAAGTCCCCAACAAGGTCGGCAGGCCCAGGTGTCAGAAAGAAGTAAAATGGCTGCTTGGTGCACTGGTCCAGCGCTCCAAAATTGGATCGAAAAGGCCTGGTTTGATAAATGTGTAATGCAGAGAACAAAGCAAACGAAACGAGTGGAACAAGCGCTTTGTAAACGTTAATATATCTTGTTCACGCTTTTTTGGCCGTGTTAAAAACGTTTGAAAATTCTATTTCATAATTTATTTATTGACCAATGTACGCATACATTTGCATGGCACTTCTGAGGACCATCGACCAAGTGGAATATTTCTTTTTAAAATCTTTACCTAGTATTTTTTTAAGTTTCGTTATTTTGGGTGCATGCACAGGATCACTACAATAACATATGGTTTACGAATTGCTCATTTCGATACCTTGACACCACTCTGCCCCCCCCCCCCCCCCCCCCCACCCCAAAACATTTTTGAGTAAGCTTGTCAATTCTATCCCAAGACCGTCTTGACATCTCCACGTGAGTTCGGAAAGTACCCACCCGTTTGTTGGACCGTGTTTCACAAGCGTGCTTTAAAGTTTGGTATTGGTGAAAATAGGCAGACTTTTTAAATACTGTTTCAGGCGTGTACTATACTATAAGGCTCCTATTATTCTGTTACGTACTATATGTCTTTGTTAACGTCAATGACAACGTGTCGGAACTTAGTTTGCTGTGACCTTCATTAATGGACTTCTAGATTCAGTTGACTATCTCTAACTTTTAGAGCCACATGCAAAAACGTGAGAAGCAGACCGGGTTATTTTTATCTGTGTTAACCACGGACACATGAGTGTGAACGAGCTATAGTAAATATACATTGTAAATACATGTACGTATTGGCCTGCTTTCAAACCAAGCTCGACCCTGCCGAACTGACATTTTGAATAATATATAATAACAATAGCAGAGTGTTTGTGCACTACGTTAATCGTGACTGGTATGAAGGAGGCAGTGCTGATGGCATTCGGCTCTCGTGTCGCCTCTGGTGTCAGTGCTGTACATGGGGAACTTTCTGAAGCATTTTTAGGTAAGAAAGAACATTCGGACAATTCATACGAAGAAGTTGCCTCGTGCCATTTTTTTTTCAATATTCTGATTTGGGTATTAGAATCATCATTAGGTCATCTCTTATCCTTTGACACAATTTCGTTCCGTCTGTATTATTATAATATTACGCCATTGCATCTTGCATAATGATGCACTATTGACAATCATTCTGTAGGCTATTTGCAATTGGGGAATATTATAGATTTACTTCCATTTGCAATCTGGTGGATCATTTCTGAACTTCCATGTACAGTGGTGACAACTAAGAAACAGAGCTGGCTCACGTTGAGAAAGGGTTCTCCAAATTCCAAATGTACGCAATATTTTGTTTGTTTCTTATTAATATATATAGATCTAAGTTTTGTATTTTTGTGCGATTTACACAATGTTTGCATCCACTTGTTGGACAATTTGAGCATGTACGCAATATTTACCCGTTATTCTATTTCTGTATCAATTAAACAGCACATTTTGTAAACTTGTGCATCTTCTGAAGTTTTTCCCAAAGTAAAGATTGTACTTTTTTGCAGTACTTTTTAAGACATAAGCTCAGCACAGTTTTCTTGACCAATCAATGTCGTTTGACGATATATTTTTTGTATTATTCTCGCCCGCTCAATAGCAAGCTATGTGAGTTTTTAAACCGAAAGTTTTACTCCAGTGAAACTTAAAACACCCAGAAATATTCAAGGCTTCCCGGGAAGCATACAGTGCAAGCCGCCGATTTAACACTCAAAGACAAACTGACGAGAACTTTCGCCGTCCAAAGCAAAGTACTAATTTCCATCTGGGTGAAGTTAGCAAAATTCGCCGGGGCCTCGACGGGTTTCTCGCCCACGACCTTTCCGTTGTGAGACTCAACAGCCCAACCACTGGACCACTGACTCCACACACGAGCATCCTTCCTCGGCTTACTGTTCCACTAGCACAGAGCAACTCGTCAATCCTTGCGTTCATCACTAGACTAGGCACAATTTGTCCTTACCATCACAGATGTACACGGCTTTACTTCTTGTTTTGTTTCTTTGTTTGGCGAATTTCATGCTCGTCACCCAAAAACTTCAAATCGGTTACGCAACTTTATCAACCTCTGGAAATTTGCCTGTACGTCACACATCAGTGACGCCGCACCGGCGTCTGTGCTGTAGCGGTTAAATTCTCGAGTTCGATTCCCGAGGGGAGAGGAATTTTTATTGAGTGTCTCGGTCTTTCTGATGGGATGTTTTATCCCTCTCAGCCCGGGTTGGCCCCTGGCAAACAGAAGACCGCTCCTGGATTATCTTAATTGTGTTGATGGGAATGTCAAAACACCTGCTTTCTTTCTTTCTTTCTTTCTTTATCTATTTATTTGCCCCAGATCACACGAAGAGGTACTAGAAGAATCCCACGTGGGCTGCTCGCTAATAAAAACAATCAGGAAAAGACAAATACAGCTTTTGGGACACCTGAATAGACATATAGGCCTTGAACATCTAGCGCCCCCTGGCAAAACTGAAGGGGAGCACATGAGGCAGGGGTAGGCCCAGAGCAACCGACTTGGAATACCTAAACAGATGGGTGACCAGAAACGATCGGGGTAATGTGGCTTTTATAAGAGCATCCGAGCGGAAGAGGAACGAATGGAGAACCGTGATCACCGATGTCTGTCGCAGATCTGACACTTGCTGATTATTTTTTAAATTTTTTTTGCGTTATGACGCCAAACTAACCTTTACCTTAATCGCCAAGGATCTACACATTTTTACTCTAGATACATTTCAAAACCATCACCCAACGTGACAAATCTATAAATAAGGACATAACCGATCCCTGAACAGTTGGTTGCTCGGACCGTCATATACCAAACCAATACCCGGTAAACCGGGGTGACTATGGCCACAAGAAAATGTTAATTTGTTCCTCTTTAAGTGCTCCTCAGTAACATTTTAGAATATTTATATTTATATGTTTCTTACAATTTATAAACATTATTATATAAACAAATTATACTCTTTACTCCAAAACAGGTGTGCAGAGGCACCTAGTAGTGCGGATTTGAGCTGGTTCAAGATTGCTTCTGCGTTTTGATAATCTTTTGATTTTGAAAAGTATTGAAAAACTTTGGTAAGTTTTTTTTTCGTAAAAATGTTACAGTCATCATTCAAGTGTATATAAACTCTAACAACACTGAAAAGAGGATGAATATCTGTTCCAGTAGTGATATTTTCCAATATCTGTGGCTAGGACAGGGGTGGCCAAAGTCACTACGGCCGCCATGGACCAAAATGGGGTCAATTTGGCCGCCTGGATTTGACATAATTTGCATCTTCGCTGTATTTCATTCTGAAAGAAGGGACTCAAATGCTTATTCCGAACACCAAATCTCCCAATATTATCATCTTTAAAGTCAAGAGATCTATGTATTACTATACCTGTTGCAAGAAAAATGTCAAGGCCTTGAATTTCTGTTTTTTTATCATATTTTCATTTCCTGAATTTATTACCCCAAAGTAATGATTTAAGAGATGTAGTCAGGCATTGATTAAGATACCTGGGCACTGACTTAATGAGGTTTCTAACTAATCACTTTTTTTTTAATGAGGTTAAAACTTATTGCTTTATATTGTGGGTATCTGACGTTTCAGTCGACACAATTTAGATCATTTAGGAGGCGGGCTTCGACTCTGCCTGTCATGGTCAACCCCGGCTGAAAGGGATACAACGTCCCAGCAGAAAGACTGATTTACTTGATACGAATTCTCCCCATTTAGGTGTCGAACTCAAGTCACCGGCACCTGTGGTGTAGTGGTTAAACATTTCGCTGTTGCACGCAGAAGACCAGAGAGCCCGTGTTCGATTCCCAAGTGGGGAGACTTTTTATCGGGTATATCGAGTCTTTCTGTTGGGATGTTGTATCATTCTCATTCCTGGCCTGTCTCCTAACTAATCTAAATTGTGTCAATGGGAGCGTAAAAAGATTATGTCAGCACATCTGTCTCAGAGGGTTAAGATAAGATCAGATATCTTTTCATGTGCTGTCCAAATCCTGACACATTGGTTTAGCGTTTCATCACACACACACACACACACACACACACACACACACACACACACACACACACAAACACATACGTACACGCATGTACACGTACCCACACACAAACGCATACGCATACGCACACGCGCGGACTTGCGCACACACCCATACACACAGGCTCTCACACATACTCTCCTCCACACACATCTGCACTCATAAACATCGTATCAATTTGTAAACTTGCTCCTAGAAACAGGCTCACGGTCACATGAATAATTTTAATGAACAAAAATTGTTAACAGTAATAGTGTTTAGCTATATATAAATCTATAGTCTGATTTTAATTCAATGATATTGTGATGCTTGGATTACTTACTTTACTTACTTTATCTTTCCTCTTGTACCATCTAGGGCGTCGAGGGGAGAAAGAGCTTTTGGTACCTGTTGTGGATCTTCAGGGTATCCTTCCCACCCTCGATCCAGGTCTTCCTTGGTCTTCCTCTTGCCTTGTCCCCTGATATTCTTTTGTAGTACGCTTTACTGGCAAGCTGATGAGGTGTGTCAGATGTCCAAACCACCTGATCGTTTGCCTCTGTATGTAGTGGAGGACAGGTGTTGTTCTCACCATTTCTCTGATTTTGGTGTGTCTGATCATGTCCCATCTGGTTTTGTTGACGGCTCTCCTTACATCCCTAGCATTCCTGACTTTTGGTCAAGGTCCATGTCAGGCATTGGTAGGTCAAGGTGGGGATGAAGACAGAGTCAATGAGCTTGGTTTTGGTCTCAATGAAAATGTTAGAATGTTTGAGAAATGGGGCAAGCTGGTAACTGACGCTGTTAGTCTTTTGTACTCTCGTCTCAATATTCCCTGTTGAGACGTCCGTCTTCCGAGTAGATACTGCCTGAGTACTTGAACTCGCTGGATTGCGATATTGCAAGCGTTAAAGGTCATAAGAATACTCATATTACAAGATGATTAAGATGGTGCGAGTTTAATGGATGATGGGGAAATGACCTTTTGTATCTTTTTTTGTTTTGTTTTTTGTTACACATCGGAAGACTTAGTCTTTTACTTTTGTTGATATTTTAATTTGAGGGAACAGACGATGTTGTCGTCCAAAAAGATGGTTATTAAGATATCGACAAGATCTTTCGAAGTGTGTTATCGGGAACACACTCACATTATTTCTGTAAAAAGATGAGGATTTGTGTAATGTGCTTTCCCAAGGATACAACGTCGGGCAGAGCTGAGCACTTCGAACCACCAAACCCGCAACCTCATGATTACATGTGAACCTCACTGTGTTGGTGATTTCCTTCCGAGCTTTTTTATGTTTTGTTGTTATTGTTGTTGTTCAACTCGCACCGAACAATAGCTCGCCAAGTTAACTTGCACCTCCAGACATAATTTGTCTCAATCGTTAGACCTGCACATTCTTGCTCTCTCATACCATGATGGATGTCGATGTGCTGGTGGTTGACGGGTGCTCTGATGTGGCATACTCCTTTATATCTATCAAGCATCTATCACTCTTATCTCCCCCCTCTTTTTATTTGTATGTTACACCTATCTAGTTACACCTCCCATCTTCCTTTCTTATATGACCTATTTGTGTTGTAAGTGCTGAGAAATTCTGACTAAAACTTTTTAAAAAAACTGCGCTTCAAACCATTGAACCCGAAACGCCTTGATTACGTGTCAACCTCGCGTAAAACATGGGAGGTTTCTGCATTGCTTTCCTTTCTTATTTTTTCTTTTTTTTTTTTTTTGGTCCATCTGGGTCCGAAGTCCGAGCAAATTAACTCGTCAAGTTATTAACGTTCACCTCTTTTTTGTTTTGTTTTGTAAAGTGTTTTACGGCGCTCGCAACTGCATAGGTCATATGAGCGCGCGGGACACACCTAATATTTTCAATTGGTAGGAAATTTTGAATTTTGCCCGGGTGGCGGCCGAAGCCTACTCTTATCGATTTTAGACCATCAAGGGATCTTTAACGTGCGCAACTTGCACACGGGCCCTCCGAGATTTTTCGCCCTTGTCCGAGAAGGCTAGGTGTAGATCTTTCCTACCAGAAGATCAGGGGTGTGGCAGAAAGACAGCAGTAAGGAGGAGCCAAGTAGTAGCAGTAGAAAGGCTGCAGAAACAGTCAGGAGCCCAGAGGAGGGGGCAAAGGAGGTGAGGGGGTGGGGGCAGAAAGTGGAATTGAAAGCAGACAACAGAACATTGCTAGAGAGCAGGAAAGGAGGTGAAAGGAGACAATTTTAGAGTAGAAGAGAAGAAAAATTTTCGGTCGCTACCCGGATTCGAACCTGGGACCTTTGAATGAGAGGCCAACACCTTAACCTCTAGGCCACGAGAGCCCCCTGTTCACCTCAAGACGTTTGTCCCAACCGTCAGACCTGCACGTTTTGCTCTCTCACACCATGACTCAGCTCAGTTT